GGTGACCCCTGGTTCTTGTGTTATGGGAAGGGGTAAATAACACTTCCCTAGGCACTTTCTCTGCACCATCTGGAGTGAGGAGGGCAGGAGCCACGCGCCCCCCCATGTAGTGACTTAACTGAATCTAGGACCTTTTGCTTCTAAAAGTTGAGTTTTTACAACATGAGCTCCAGGACCCATCTCTGTTAGCCAGGCTGTAGCAGGCTCATCCACCTCTGTCTCTGCCCTCCTGGCCACTAGAGGGAGACAGAGCGCCACATTGAGTGGGTGTGGCTTACACCAGCCTATGACTGGCTGGGGGCGGGTGGTCTCCGAGATACATATGTGATCCTGAGGTCGGTGTCACCAGCTTAGTTGAAAGGGGGCTGCTGGCGATGGCCAGCATGGCAGGCACTGGACGAGGACATGAGACAGGCCCTTTGCATAGAGATGAGGTCACTCCAAGCATTTTGTGGCCCTTGGGCAAAGAATGCTACAAAATGCATCTCATCCCGTTGACTTGGTCACTAAGCATTTTATTGCACAGCCTGGGAGCCCAGGCATGGACCAGCCAGTACCCCATTGTGCTAGATCGCAAATTCCCTGGGGCAGAGGCTGCCTCTTGCTCTGTGTCTGTACAGCTCCCAGGACAATGGGGCTGGGTTAGAATCATAGAATCTCAGGGTTGGAAGGGACCTCAGGAGGTATCTAGTCCAACCCCCTGCTCAAAGCAGGACCAATCCCCAGACAGATTTTTCACCCCAGATCCCTAAATGGCCCCCTCAAGAATTGAACTCACAACCCTGGGTTTAGCAGGCCAATGCTCAAACCACTGAGCTATCCCTCCTCCCCCTCCCGAGCCGGGCCTCTAGGTAGGGTTACCAGATAGCAACTGTGAAAAAACGGGACGGGGGTGGGGGGTAACAGGCGCCTATATAAGAAAAAGTCCCAAAAAACTGTCCCTTTAAAAACGGGAGATCTCGATCTCGTCACCCTGCCTCTAGGCAATAATCACTAGTCTCCAAATGAGAAAACCACAAGAGAGCAGGCTTGCTGTGGCACTGAGGAATAGTCAGGTGGCCACTAGAGGGCAGCCTCACTTGCTCTCTTATTCACGCCAAACCGGTATGTTACCGTGAGCGAGGGAAATGGAGCAGGAATGAGTGCAGAAGCATGGCCATGATCCATCAGGGCTTGGCGGGCACCCCCCGAAGCTGCTGCTCGCGGCCTGGCGCCCATTGATGTTGTAGATTGTGAAAAGGGAGGGTGCTGGCAGGTGGCCGGCTCCGTAGCTCAGGGCTCGGCCCTGAGGGCCGGGGAGGGCTGCGGGGCTGAGGTGACTGAGCAAATACATCGGGCGGAGTATTTAGTTAGCAGTAGAGCTGTCCCCGCTCAGGGCCGGTGCTACCATTTAGGCAAACTAGGCGGTTGCCTAAGGCGCCAAGATTTGGGGGTGCCAAAAAGCGGTGCCCCCAATTTTTTTTTAACAGCATTCCTACGCCCCCTCCCTGAGTGCACGGTCGCCGCTCCACTTCTCCCGCCTCCCAGGCTTGCAGCGCCAATCAGCTGTTTGGCGCCGCAAGCCTGGGAGGGGAGGAGAATTAGAGCGGGGGCGACGTGCTCGGGGAGGAGGCGGAGCAGAGGTGAGCTGGGGTGGGGAGCTGCCGCACAGCTCCCCTGGGGGGGACGCCCCGGTGGGGGGGGGCGGCCTCAGGGCGGGGGGGGCGGGGAGCTGCCGCAGGGCTGGGGGGGGAGGCGCAAGGTAGAAGTTTCGCCTAGGGCGGGAAACTTCCTTGCACCGGCCCTGTCCCCGCTGCATTACTAGCTGGAGTATCAGCAGCGCTTGAGCCTTGACCCCCAACGGGCTGGTTAGTTTGGGTCTAATACGCCACCTGACTTGAGCTAGAGATTGTTAGGTGTGGACGGGAGCCGGTTAAGGGCAGCGCTCGAGTTCTACCTCGCGCTGACACTGCAGCGAAGACCAGCCCAGAGAGAGGCCTGGTCTGAACATGCGCAGGCTTTGGAAGCTGAGCATGGACCGAAGCCAGATCACCAAAGTCTGAACATGCAGGGCATAAGAAGTCCAGGTTTGAATGTTCCAGCTGGAATTGATCTCTGATAACAAGTCTCTGAATCTGCAGGGAGCAAAGGAAATACAGACTATGGTATGATCCAAACCCTGAAAAGGCTTCTGTTCAGTGAGAAAAGCATCCCATCTCCATTCTCCCCCGCAACCAGTCACACCAATTCAGATCTTTCTTGAGAGGAGGGGGCAAATTCCAGTCTCTACCCCCCTGGTGGGGACGCCATTCCAGTCCTCGTTTGTTCCCCTTCCTCCCATGCAGGGACCCCCGATTTCCTTTGGCTGGGGAGTCTCCGCTCTCTCTTACCTACACAGCACATGAGCCAGTGCCACCAGGGGTCGAGTTCTTGGCAGACTCCCCTGCGCTTCACCATCCAGGACCAGACTCTTCGTCCGCCAGGTCGGAGCGCCGTTTTGCCCAGCCACAACTCTGTCTGGATGGAGGATGGCGGGACCAAATCGGAGGGGCATTGTCAGCCCATGCACCAGGTCGCAAGACCTCTCACCGCAGTGTTGCCTGGCCACCCTCCATCTGTACGGAGGGGAGGACGGGTGACATTCCAGTGGCATTGGGCCCATGCACACAGAGCAATGCTCTGGATTACTCTGGCAGCAGCTGGACGGAGTTACTACGGGAGCACGGCTGAAAAGTGGTTGGAGCAGGGCCTCCCCCGGCTCCATGGCCAATGGAACTTTGAGCAAGTGTAAAGACCTGGGGGGGGGGAAGAGGGGACGTTTGTTCCCCCTAATTGGCACAACTACCTCCCACCTTCCCCTCCCTCTGCTGTTCCGTGGTGAACGCACTGGAAAAGAACTAGATAAGGTAATAACCCAGCGCGAGTGGGTCTCTATGCGGTCCCCTCTTTCCACCATGGCTGGGATGAGAACCGTTCCTCAGCCTTCTGCTGGCCTCTGGTGGGACAAAAGTGCAATTGCAGGGCGTGATTACGGGCAGAACAATGAAAATGGAGGAAAATGATCTACTGGTAGAGGTTCGACCACCCCAAGGGGACCGGGTCCTGGCAGGGGTGTTGGAACAATTTGTATAGTGGGGGTGCTGATTCAGAGCCATTGAACCAAACTGTAAACCATGTATATAATGGAAACCACTTCAAGCCAGGGGGTGTGGTAGCACCCCTAGTTCCAGCACCTATGGGTCCTCGGAGCGGAGTCTACGAATTGGAGGTCTAGTCGAACATGGGGTGAGGTGTGGATGCTGGTAGACCTGGAAGGGGGCAGGTTGGAGGGGGCTGGGTCAGCAGCTGAACCATCCTGGTATTCCCTGAGCCACGTCTCTGGCCAGGCTTGAGGAATCTGGCAAGGTCACATCCTAAAGGGGCAGGACCGCGGGCCCCAGCCCTTCTGTGGGGACCACGTCAGTATGCTAAAGTGCCAAGTTTGGGGAAGCCACCCGTGTGACACTGAATGCAAATTATGTCAGGAGACGATTTGCATATTTGCCAATAGTTTGCATATGACCCGTAACTTTATTATGATTATGTTTTGAATGGTGTGGATTTATTGCTGGTGAAGTGCATTAGCTCTGGCGGGGGCACCCTCCCCTGTCATCCATTATCCCCTTCTCAGATCATTTTCAGACCCTGTCCTATGTGTCCTCCACTGAGTCTCCACCAGTCCCCCCACTCAGTCCCACAAGCCTCTGTCCCCTGTTCATTACCCCACACCCTCAGACCCCCCCGTTCTGTCTCCCCATCAGCCTCCATCCCTTTCATTCACCAGAAGGCAAATCAGAAGAACCCCAATTATTATTTTAAAAAAACTCCTGATTTTTAAGCCAATCTCATGATTCTTTTTGGGGGGGGGGAGGAGCTTGACTCATGGTTTTTGGATGCTTGGGGTCGGTGTTCATAAAACCAGGTAGAAGGAACAAAATCCTCCCTAATCACCCTGTATAATCCCATCCTAGAGCCGCCTCCTTCTAGACCCTTGTAAATATCTTAGGACATGTGTGATGTTGCATGAAACAGTAGCCAGAAAAGTTACTCATGGCAGGAGAAGGATGGCCCAGTGGTCTAGGACTTGGAGACCTGAGTTCAAGTCCCTGTTGTACCACAGACTTCTTGTGTGACCTCGGGCAAGTCACTCAGCTGCTCCGTGCCTCAATTTCCCCATCTCTACAATGGGGATAACAGCACCGCCCTACCTCCCAGGGCGCTGTGAGAATAAATACGTTACAGATTGTGAGGTGCTCCGATACTAGGGTAATGGCAGTAATACCTGACAAGTTTCCCTTGTTTCAGTGGAACAAATAAAAACCGGCATTGACAGCGATTCAGGCTTGGGCCTCATTCTACCTGGTGTTAATATCCAAAGCAGCAGCATTTCTTACAGCCATGTCCACACACACAAGCTGAAATCATTCTAGTGGTACAACGTCCCCTAGTGTGGACGCAGTCACGCTGGCATAAATGTGCTTATCCCAGAATCGCTATTCCTGGGCGGGAAGGGGGCTAAGCTGTACTGTCCTGAGGCATCTTTATACCAGTGTAAACTCCACCCTAGGTCCTGCTAGTTCCTGCTCTAACTAGAACAGAAAAAGTCCCATCTCCTAACTGACAAAGTTATACCGGTCCACCCTATGAAGTGCAGGCCTAAAATGCAGAGAGCAGTGCTAAAGTCTGCGGCCTCCAAGGACCTAATTCTTCTCTCCTTTACTCTGGGGTCAATCAGGAGTGACTCCACTCGAGTCACTGAAGTTACTTTGGTTTAAAAGGCGGGGGATGAGACCAGATTCCGGCTCCCCCTGCCCAGCTCCCCTCTTCTCCAGACCTGCTCCTGGTTTCTGGCTCTTTTTTCCGGCTCTTTCTTTCTCTCTCCATCCCCAGCGTCTGACCGCTCTCCCTAGCCGGTTTGCTCCTCTCTCCCCTGCCGTGATGGGAGGGAGCGGTGACCGCAGAGAGAGCAGGCCGGTGATGACATGCTCGGCAGGAGGCTTCCATTGGGTTAGAACCGTGATGTCATAATGCCGGTGGCTGACATCAGGCAAGAAGGTGCAACTCCGAGGCGCCATGCTGGAGCTGAAATGGCTGCTTATCAGGGGTCCCGCCTGGTGAGAGAAAGGGGCTGGCGCCCTCAGCCTGGGGGACAGAGGGGTTTGCAGCCCGTCCCCCTTGGGGACCAGCCCTTTGCCCTCACCCCCCATACCATCCCTCTTGTGCCTGGCACCACAGAGGCCCTGCTCCTCCAGATGTGTCTTCTTCCTGCACATTACAGATGTGCACAGCTGGAAGCCCATGCTGGACCCCGCCTCGCTGCCCCCCCTGCCCTCTGGCCTGTCCCCCAGTGCATGGGAAGCCCATGATGGGGTGGGTGTGTAACCCCTGGCAAGCTAGGATGGGCTTGTGGGCATGAAGGATGACTGGGGTCCAAAGATGGGGTGGGGGTAAGCTGGGGGTGAGGGAAGGGCGTGTGTGACCACATGTCTCCTACCAGTGGAGGCGCCACACCATGCACAAGGAGAAGGAAGCCAAGAACGCAGAGATGAAGATCAACTGCAGAGACATCATATGCGTCCAGGTACGCGCTGCCCCCTTCCCCTGCGGGACGCTGCCTGTGGCTGCCAGGCGGTTCTCTCGGGGCTGGATCCAAAGCCCGCTGCACTGGATTGGGCCCACAGGCTTGCAGGAGAGCAGGACTGGGAGATGGGGAGCAGTGAGAGCAGGCCATGTTAAGTGGCTCTGACAGCTCATGGTGATGGTTAACCATCTGTGCCTCTAGCCCCTTTTGCCTGCAGAGCTCCAACCCCCGATAGAGGTGGGACACCCCCATTTTACAGATGGGGAAACTGAGGTCCAGTGGAGGGAAAGTGACTTGGCCGAGGTCACTTAGCACATCAGTTGCAGAGCTGGGAATGGAACCCAGGATTCCCAGCATCCGGGTCCTGCTCTAACCCCTACACCAGACTGCCTCCCCTTTCAGTGCTCGATGTTGGCAGGAAGTTGAGCATCTCCATAGTTTACAAGGGCTGGGATGTGCCAAGGAGCCTATTTGGGGGAGAAGACACTGTCCTTGGGTGCATCCGGGCCTTTATCCTGATCTTTTTCTCTTTAGCTGAGCGTCCTGTATTGGTACTGCCAAAGGGGGCTCACTCACCATGTGTGGCTACATCTTCACGTGCCCACAGCTGGAGCCATGTTTTCAAAGGAGCTCAGCACCCAACATACTGGGCTCTTTGGGGAACCGGGCCATTGCCTTCCTGCTGTGACGTGAGGCCCCAGGATGAGATGCTGTCTGTGGGGATTGAACCCAGAACCTCTGGCTCGCAGCCCCTAGTGCCTGAGCAAACAGAGGCAGCTCCATTGAATGACACTCTATAGCCTGTATGTGATCCAGCGACTTGAGGGCAGAGAAGAACCACAGTGTGTTAGCCCGGGAGTTATACTGTGGTGAGCTGGTGGGAGAAACTTAGCGAACCGTATTCCATCGGCACATGCAGGTCTGTCCATACTGGGGCAGTTTTGCTGGAGTTTCAGACCGGAAGAAAACTGGGGGAGGTGAAGGAGGTGGGGCGGGGTGGGGGAGGTTCAGACCTTTTATGAACAAAGTGTTTCAATTTGTTGTTTGGAAACGAATTTTCATTTTGAATATTTTTTTTGTATCGTATTAATATAACATGGTGAGGCGTCATCCCTGAACTAGTGCCTGATTGAGCCGCATGTGGTGATGAGTCAGTCCTGTGCGAGGCTCCAGCCAATCCACAAGCCAGGAGCTGGTCAGGTGACTCTCAGGGCAGGTATATAAGCCTCACAGGAGACCGAGCTGCCCAGTCTGGCCAACGTCACTGTATGGTGAGGAACTGTCCCCTGCCTGATAGTGGAGACGGACTCCACAGGCCTCAGCCTGCTCTGGCACCAGCTCCAGCCTCGTTCCCAGTCCTGCCCTTGTGCCAATCCATCTCCCAGCCTTACGCTTGCCTCGTTCTGACCCCACTTTTGACTCTTGGTTCTGATCTCTGGCTCGAGTTCCCAGACCGACTACCAACGCACCAACCAGTAGGCCCGTCTTTCACTGCTCCCACCACTAGGCCTTGTCCCGCCACGTCTTGGTTTCTGACAAGGAGAGTTCTGCAATACAACATTTTTAAAAGGTTGACATTGAAACAACAATGTTTTGATTGACCCAAAATGATTTTTCTTTTAATGTGGATTTTTCCCTTGTGGAGAATTTTGAAATTTTCAGGTTCCGTTGCTATTAGAAACCCTTGGTGGAATGGAATTTCCCTCCTCCACACACCCCTTTGCTCCCCACCTGCAACACAATAGGAAAGAAGAGGAGCTCAGAACTGGGGCTGGAATTTTTTTCCTGCAGATGGCTGGCTTGGCCCACTTCTATCCTGGCGGTGATGCAGCTCTCCGTTTTCTCCCTAGGATAACTGGGACGTGGAGGAGTTTGTCTCAAAGGTGTGCATGGGCAGGTTTCTCAACCATCCCGCCTTTAAAATCACGCTGGCCGCGCTCATCATCGGCAACGCGCTCATCATCGCTAGCCGGACGGAGACGAAGGTCGAAGAGGTACGTTGGCAATGTCTGAATCGGTCCCACACGCAGCAAACTCCGAGCAAAGGGAAAGCACAAGCTCAGACTCCGCCGCCTCAGGACTGAGATCGGGGCCCTGTTGCACTAGGCGCTGTACGTACATGTCTTGAGAGCTGCTGCCCTAAAGAGCTATTTTCATTTCCACGCTTCCGCTCCCCTTTTCCTTTTCTCCTATTCTTCTCCCCATGCTGGTTATATTTAGTGCTTTGCTAAAGACCTTATGGGCCAGGCCAATTAGAGAGAGAAAAGACCCAGTGAGCCAATCCTTGCTCAGAAGGGGGCGAGAGGGTAAAGGCAGATCAGAGGTCCCTTAATCCTGGGATGGCTGGGTGCAAATCAGTGCCTCAGCTTCAGGCTACTTAAGATGAAGTCAGCGGTTAACAGCCCAATACAGCGGCCTGGCTCTGTCCTCTTTCCCCTGGCAGCCTGGAGGGGTTGAGTGTAGAAGCTGCCACGCTGGCTCTATGCCACAAGCGGATCTCCCCACAGGGGTGTGATTTACCCATGCCAGCTGTGTGGCACTGGAGGATCTGGGCCCCATGAGTTCATTCTCCAGCTAGTGCAGGATTGTTTCCTCCCAGTCATTGTCTCATGCATTACGCTTGTTGCTTTCCAAATTCCCGAGCGATACGGCTCCCATTCGTTCATTAGTCTGGAAGCACCGGTCGCTGTCCCCGAGTTAAGGCTGAGTGAGTTTTGCACTTCAAGCAAGGCCTCTGTGATGTAGGGAGAATGCAGCGTGTTCTCCCCACTCCCTCTTTGAGGACTGGATGAATTTTCTGAGCACCTGCAAGTGGATCGTTTAATTAGTTTATGAAAATGTATTTGTATTGAGGCAGCACCGAGGAACCCCCAATCCAGGGTCAGGGCCCCTTTGTGCTAGATGCGATACAGACATAGAATGGAAGATGATTCCACTGCTGAGTAGATTTCACTGTGAACGTTTCTCCCCCCCCCCATATTCAGTTCTAGACAAATCCATGCTGATTGTTACTTGTCACCTTATTATCTTCTAGGTATCTGCAAATTGTTTTCTTAATTATTTGCTTCATTATCTTTCTGGTTACTGAAGTTAAGCTGACTGGTCTGTAATTCCCCGGGTTGTCCTTATTCCCCTTTTTATAGATGGACACTATATTTGTCTTTTTCCAGTCCTCTGGAATCTCACCTGACTTCCATGAATCGCTAATGGCTCAGATATCTCCTCAGTCATCTCCTTGAGTATTCAGTTTCCTCATATCCGCATTCTTCTCTATAGGCCAAGCTCTCTCTGGCTGGACTACATCTCTCATGATGTATCATGGCCCGGCACTCCCATGATGCACTGCTTCCTCTCCCCAAGAGAGGAGACTGTGGTGCATCATGGGAGCTGTAGTCTGACCAAGGAACCTGTCCCATAGAGGAGAAATGGGAGCATGAGACACTGAAACTACAACTACCATGAGGCAACGTAGCAGTATTTCCAAACACAAATATTTTAGTTTTCAGCCCAAATATTTCGGCATTTGAATTTCTGCCAAAAAAATCAACGTTTTTCACAGAAAAAAAAAGTTGCTTTGACCCTCTTACTCGTTCTGTGATTTCTTTTCTTTTTTTTTAAATTAATCTATTGTCTTTCCTATCCCCAGAGGTTTTTCCTCACCTGTATTTTTTCTCTTGCCCTCTCCTTTTACTATTACTTTTTCTTCAGCTGACTGCAGCACTTTTCTTTGTCTCTCCATTATACCTTTTCTCCTTCTGTCCATTATCCCCACCCCTCTGTCCACGTCCCTCCTCCTAGCCCCGATTCAGCCAGCCACCTAAGCACGTAAGTAATCGCCTCCCTAGTCAGCAAAGCACTTACGTGTGTGCTGAAATTTAAGTATGTGGGTAAACCCCATTGAATTCACCCACCCCTAAGCGCTTTGCTGAACTGAAACTGCCCCCTCACCTAGAGCTAGGACTGATTTTGGTTTTGATCGCAGTTGAACAGTGTGAGCAAGACACAAGCAGAGTCCCCTGGGGACATGGCTGAGTTTGGTTTTTCTTCTATTTTCTATTGTAGAAATACTACGGGTTGTTCTCTGCCATAGATAACATCGTCTTGACTGTCCTTACCTGTGAGGTGCTTCTCAACTGGTACTATGGATTCCGGATGTACTGGAAGGTGAGCGCTAAGCACGGCCAGTTAGAGCCAATATTTCCTGGCCATTAGCCACATTCCTGTTATTCTATTGCTCCATTCCCATTCCCAGGGTCCCATTGCAACTCTTCCAGGCCCCCCTCCAAAGCCTACAATGTTGTTCCTCGAATTGTTCCTCTTATCCAAGCTGCCCCGCCAGGCTTTGCATAGGTCTCACCGTTCCGCAACGTGCAGGGCCGGTGTAACCACTAGGTGAACTAGGCAGCCGCCTAGGGTGCCAAGATTTGGGGGTGCCAAAAAGTAGTGCCCCCAAATTTTTTTTTTACACTCTTGCTCCCGGTGGGGGGACGGGCTGCTCGCAGCCACGTTAGCACCTACCTCTGCGGGTGTCCTCTGCAACCGCGGGCCCTGCCGCCTCCCTCCGCCGCACCTCACATCACTGCCTGCCCGCGCCCCCCCTGCCAGCCCGGAGCCGCCTCCTCCCAGAGCCCCCAGGCTGCCACATCGCTCCCTAGCCCGCTCCCTCCGGCCTTGGCAGTCCCGGACCCCCTGCCGCAGCAGCGGCTGCTGCCCAAGGTCTGCCGGCTGCAGTCCATGATCATTGTTAAGAGGCCAAAAATAATCAACGCCCTATATTTGATTGGATCAGGTCTATCAATCAAAGTATCCAAAGCAGGGGACGTGCTGTCCAGAGGTTAAAGCAGCCAATTGGGAATGAGGACTCCTGGGTTCAACTCTTGGTTATCAAATCACTCGGACCTTGGATAAGTTACTTTGCCTCTCTGTGACTCAGTTTCCCTGTCTGGGTCTAATAATCCTTATCTATAACAAAGGGGCTTAATTATGCTTTGGGATGAAAGGAACAATATAAGCACTAAGTATATGCCAGATTATTACTTGATTATAATAGAGAGCATATGTTTTAGATGCTTTGCAGTAAAACTAATACAGATTAAGGGCCTGCTCCTTCCCCTCTTAAAGTCAGTGGGAATGTTACCACTGATTTTCAGAGTTAAATGACTAAAAGCATACTTGACGGGCTAGTCATATCTGTGTGGAACCATGAATAACGTCTCTGGGCCATGCCAAGGGCCTTCTGGAATAGAATTGGCTTTAAAAGAAACAAAACCAGTCCAGGTTTCAAAGCTAGACACTTACTTACCTAGGGCCCAATTCTCCATGGTCCAGCACCTTGTGTGGTCGTTTGTGGAGTGCAAAGTGGGTGTGGCAGCACTATCACTCGGCGTCAGTGGTGTCGCACATCCACTTTGCACTGACGTAAAGGACCCCATCAGGTGTAGGACAGCAGAGAATCCGGCTCTGCATATTTTTCATCCATCAGACCTCAGAACACTGAAAGGTGGGTAAGGAGCACTAACCTCATTTAACAACTGGGGAAACTGAGGCCCAGCGAGAGTAAGTGTCTTGTCCAACATCACGTAGTAAGACTACGACTGAGCTGGGAATAGAATGTAAAATCCTTCACATTCTTGATCTGGCGGTGAGTGGTAAAGTCAGATTTCAGAGATGGTTTTATGGGCCAGATCCTCAGCGGGTATAAGACAGAATTGTCCCATTGATTTCAATGGAGCGATGCTGATTCACGCCCGCTAAGGATCTGGCCTTTCTTATTGGCAGGTTTCAAGCTGAGATGCACCCCCTCCCTCTGTTCTCTCATTATTACCGTGTATTATATGTATTACGGTAGCTCTTAGAGGCCCCAATCTGGGATCAAGGCCCCGTTGTGCGAAGTGCTGTGCAAAAATACGGTCCCTGCCCCCGGAACTTACAGTTTCATGGCTGCTAGGGCCTGTGCTGACCAGCCCTGCTTTGAACGCTTGTCCTCTGCTTCTCAGGGTGGGGTTTTCTCTTCCACAGGACGGTTGGAACGTCGTCAATTTTTTTATCGTGGCATATCTCTGCGTGGGGCCTTTCATCCCTGTGCTGAACAACCAAAAAATTTTCTGGGTCCTCAGGTAGGGAAAGGGCTACTTTGTCTTAAAGCTTGTCATGCTGGTATTATTTGTTGGTTGACAAGCTCTTGGTAAAACACAGATCAGGCCCCATTCCGCGAAGTGCTGCACGTATTCCTAGGGTGCGTCTACACTGCAGTTAGAGCAGGGGTCTCAAACTCAATTTACCTTAGGGCCAGGGCCAGTCCTCAAATCCTCCCAGCGGGCCAATAATGTCCCTGAAGACGGTGTTCAGAAAAGAAAATGTGGATATTGTATTTTTTATTTCGAATGTCTTAGAAATAATAAAACGGTCCGACAACTTTATACAATTCTTCACCTGCCAGAGAGTGTTTAGTGTTTGCCAGACACCTGGCAACGCTTCAGTTCTGTCAGTTTGTTGATGTTTGGCCTCCGTGACTGAGCAGTTGAAACCTTCAGGATTGCAGCAAGGTGTGCAGCAAATAGTTGTGTTCGGTATTTTGATTTGTTTATATTCATTGTGGGGAAAAAAGTCATGCTGATTCCATGGCTGACTCTGCCCGGCGACTAGTAATGGTATCTCTGTCCCTCTCCCCCGACCAATCGGAGCTGCAGGGGGCGGAGCCTGCAGCAGACATGGCTGGCAGCGTGTCTGCATGCGTCTCTCCTCCGCAGGCCTCAGTGGGGAGGTTCTCGGGCCGCAGATGGCCCGCGGGCCAGGACTTTGAGACCCCTGAGTTAGAGGTATAGCTGCAGCATGTGTAGACGTACCTATTGGCTCAAGGGTGGACCCAATTGTTTGACTACACACCCGTTTTGTTCTTAAAAATGTTCAAGAGTCCAAATAGCCAATCTTAGCCGAATTTCTTGTCTCAAGAAAAACAGTACAATATGGAAAGGAGAGACACATGCCCTCCTGCCAGAAAGCAAATTCTTGCAGGGGAGGGAGGGATAGCTCAGTGGTTTGCACATTGGCCTGCTAAACCTAGGGTTGTGAGTTCAATCCTTGAGGGGGCCACCTAGGGATGTGGGGCAAAATCAGTACTTGGTCCTGCTAGTGAAGGCAGGGGGCTGGACTCAATGAACTTTTAGGGTCCCTTCCAGTTCCATGAGATAGATATATCTCCATATATTTTTATTAAATGTTCACCTTCCACAGCCGGTGTGCTTCCAAGATATGCATTTCAGCTAATAGCATTTAAAGGACGATTTTCCAAGTTACAAAACTTTTTACACGTCACTAAAATCCAACCCACTCTGTTCCTTAACTTGCTGTTCTGTACTGTCCTTCTCTTTGTTTTGGCATTGGTCTGTGAAGGTACTTCCCCAGCTCGAACCAGGCAGAACATTAAAGTATTTTGCCTTTGACAGGTTTCCTATTTTCTAATGCCAAAGCGGACTTTAGCTTTGCAAAGTGTTGTGAGATACTTGATGTGGGTGAACAGCATTGTGGGAAGAGCAGAATACTTAACCTAACTTCCCAACACTTACATTCATTCCGTGTACATAATACTTATAAACCTGGTGTATACTACGCCTAACGTACATACATTGGCTAACATACCCCAGCTAGCTTAGATTTAGCTACCTCCAGTAACAACAGCAATGATGCTGCAGCAGCACGGTTTATACCAGGGGTTCTCAAACTGGGGGTCACCAGGTTATTACCTGGGAGATTGCGAGCTGTCAGCCTCCACCCCAAACCCTGCTTTGACTCCAGCATTTATAATGGTGTTAAATATATAAAAAAGTGTTTTTAATTTATTAGGGGGGTCGCACTCAGAGGCTTGCTGTGTGAAAGGGGTCACCAGTACAAAAGTTTGAGAACCACTGGTTTATACAATGCTACTCAGGACCTTGGAAATGTAGTCAAATGGCTAGCCCATCGTATTACCCGTGCTGTTGCCAATTCACTGCTATTGTTACTGAAGATAGCTAAATCAAAGCTGGCTCAGGTATGTCTACTATGCTGCAGTCACACCTCTGACTGCAGCGAAGACATACTTTAGTAAGAGACAGTCCCTGCCCCAAAAAGCTTACAGTCTAAACAGTCAAGTCAGACAAAAGGTGGGAAGGGAAACCGAGGCACACAGCGAGGAAGTAACTTGCCCAGAGTCGCACAGCCTGTCAGTGGCAGAACTGAGAGCTCCGGAGTCTATTGCTGGTTGGGACTTGTTCGACAAATTGTTTTTGAAAAATGGAAAACAGGCCAATTTGTCAGGACAGAAACTGTTTGCAAAACAGGGTTGGGTTTGGCGAATCTCCTGACTTGATAAAACTGTTGAGGAAACGTTTCAGAATTGTCCAAATGTTTCGTTTCAATGTTTTCGGAAAGAAAACGCCCAGTTTTCTGGTTCAGAACAGCATTTTGTTTCAGAATTTAAGCTAATTAGACCGAAAAAAAAGTTTAAAAAGAGAGGAGGTGAAAAAAAAGGTTGAAATCAAAACCAAATATTTCAAAATGATTGGAAAAAAAGGTTTTGATTGACCCAATGTGGGAAAAAAAATGTTTCTTCATTTTGCAAATATTGGTGAGTTTTCAACGTTTCATCCCGATTTGATATGGGACAAAGTTTGGAACTCTTGAAAATATTAGCCAGAGAGGAAAAAGGTTTCCTGCCCAGTTCTAGCCGAGTCCCAGTGTTGGACCCTACGCTCCCTCCAGACCAAAGTGGGTCTCTAAAAAAGAAAATGATCACGGTGTCAAAGTCAGACTCAGGACTCACAATTTGTCAGACCACTCTGTTTATTAGCAAAAGTGCTCTGCTAATACACCCAGATAATGTGAGTGCCATGCAAGGCCCAAACTATCTTATTTATACAGATAAAAAGGGCGCGAACTTAACAAGATGACAAAGGGAGCAGAACTGATAAGTTCACCTGGGGCTAGACACACATATCTTATTTCCTTATTAACTCTTACCGATCTCCTGTTAATGTCCCACCATCAACTTAAGTGGACCCATTGTTCAATACCTTAATGTTTCTCTTCCTGTCAACTTTATCTCAACATTCCTCATTCCTGCTTAAAGGAACATACAGCATTTCTTTAATCCATTTTACTTTTACAGTATAATTCATTCTACTTTCACAACGGGCACAGCAACTCCAGCACCACACTGCGAGCCCCGGTGTCTAAAGCAAACTTGGAGTCCCCTCGTGGAAATGTTGGCCTATTGACTTGTCCCAGGTCCCACAGTAAATTCGGTTGAGGCTACACTTGAAACGCTACAACGGCCCAGCTGCAATGCTTCAGCATAGCCACTTGCGACCGTGACAGGAGGATTCATTACTGTCACTGGAATTAATCCACCTGCCTGAGGCGGTAGCTAGGTTAAGGAAGAATTCTTCCATCGATCTAGCGCTGTCTACACCAGGGGTTAGGTCAGCTTAACTGCGTCGCTCAGGGGTGTGGATTTTTCACACCCCTGAGCGACATAGCAGGTCGACTTAACTTTTGAGTGTCGACCGGGCCTTAGTGGCAGAGCTGGGTGTGGAACCCAGAAATCCTGGCTAGCAGATTTCTGCTCTCACTCTGGTGTGGAGCTAGGCTGCTCTTGCTGGGCTGAGCAGTGGGAGGAGCTGCTTGGAGTCTGGGAGCCCCGAAAGATTCTTCGAACGGTTTTTCTTCCAAGTCACGTGGGCCTGGCATCATCTCCCTCCCGGCGCAAGCTGCTCACGACTCCTCTGTCTCTCTCAGGGTGATGAGGCTGATGCAGGTCTGCACGCTGGTCAACGGGCTGGCCAGGATGATCCGGGTGATCCTACAGTCCATCCCAGACATGGCCAATATCATGGCCCTGCTCTTTGTCATCATGCTGGTGAGACAGTCAAGCCCTTTGGGTGGGGCCCGGTATAAAACTGGAGTTCTCCCTCCTTCCTTCCCTTTCCACTTCCCTTCTTCTCCTCTATGTCTTTCCTCTTCTCCTTTCGTTCCACTTCCCCCTGTTCCCTTCCCCTCCACAGTGGGCCTTGTCACAAACAGCGGTGGGAGCTGGCTCGTTTGTGAACGGCATCAAAGAGCCTTCATCGTAACCTGGAGGAGTAAACGGGAGATCCACAGGCGCTGCCTTCCTCTTTGCCCCAGAGGTGCCCTGCCCCTGCTCCACCCCCAGGCCCCGCCCCTGCTCCACCCCTTCCCCCAAGCCCCACCCACCTCCTCCCACCCAGTTCCGTCCCATCCCCTCTTCCCTCCCAGCGCCTCCTGCATGCCCCGGAACAGCTGATCGCGGCAGGCGGGAGGTGCCGGGAGGGAGGGGGAGGAGTTGATTGGTGGGCGGCGAGCGGGAGGCACTGGAGGGGAAGGGGGAGCTGACTGCCGGTGGGTGCTAAGTACCCACTAATTTTTTTCCGTGGGTGCTCCAGCCCTGGTTAGGGATCTCTGAGCTGCCTTTGGACTCTACCGGGTGTAGAGCAAGGTACCAGCTGGATGGTGAAAGGGTGTGGATCCTCCTAGAACAAGCACAGAGTTCAAGGAGAGAGAGAGAGAGAGGAACCTAGTTCCGGAAGCGCCCACCTGCTTCCAAGCCGTAGTCTGCGAGGGGTTTGTTTTATGGTAGATTTGGGGGGATGTGGCTGCTCATTTTAGCTGGCTGAGGCTGACCGTGGGTCTTGGGCGGGAGCTGGCCAGAGCTTCCGGCCAGCGCTGTCTCTCTGCAGGTCTTTTCAGTGTTCGGAGTGACACTCTTTGGAAATCTGGTCCCGATGCACTTTGGAAATCTAGGGGCGTCTTTGTATTCGCTCTTCATCTGCCTCACGCAGGACGGATGGATGAACATATATAAGATCTTTGAGTGAGTGAACCTGTTAGGTTTCAGATGCGCCCCCACATCCAGCATAGGGAAACAAGCCCCCCCAACAGCATACCCTTGCAAGAGGAGTGCACCCCAACTGACACACATGCACACGCAAACAGCACAATGCTCTCCTCCTCCCCGCAATGCACAGACACACCCAGAGATAGCTAATACGTGCACACGAACACACCCACGAGCAGGTAATGTAATCCATGCTAGGAGAGCGAGTGTGGGTCTTTGGGCTCCTTCCATCTCGGAGGATAAGAGCCTACTACAAGTACCACCTAACAACTTCCCTCCTTTAGCTCAGGTGGTAGAAACTGATGCCGTTCATGCTAGAGATTTGGGGTTCAGGCTCTGCTGGTGATCCATGGCGGTGGATTGTTCCGTAGACACAAGCAACCCTCTGCGATCAAACCCTTTCCTTTGTCCTAATTATTTCAAGCCAATTTGAGAGGGTCTTTAATTGTGATCCGAGAAGTGGGAAGTCTGACCCCCATGCGGGGCCTTGGATGGCCTGCTTTTCCTTCCATAAGGGGGGGTGAGAGGGAAATGGAGGAGGTTCCCCCTACTTGGGGCTCAGAGGGAGATTGGCAGGACTGCTCCCCTTCTCCTGATTTGGGGCACAGAGGGGGGATGGGTGGGGTTCCCCTCTTCATAAGTCTCTGAAGACTTTACAGGAAGATTTTGCAGCGTCTCCCTGCCGCTCATCCCCATGAATGAATTCCTTCTGTCTCCGTCAGGGAAGAGGGGATCACCCTGAAAATAGGGGGTGGCCTTTACTTTTTCATCTTCATCACGGGCGGGGCCTTTATCTGCACCAACCTGCTGGTGGCCGTGGTGACGTCAAACCTGGAGCAGACAATGCTCGCCTACGCTGAGGAGAAGCAGAAAAGAGACCAGCTCCTCCACCCCGACAAGTACGTGGACCGGGAGGTAAGTGCCGGGCGCAGCCAGTGTGATGGCTGAATCCTGAGGCTTTTGCTCAGGTTTTGCTCCCACTAGGAGTTATACCTGAGTAAGGACTGCGTGAACATTGATGAAGGAAGACCGTCAAGATCTGGCCCTAGAGTACTAAAGCAAAGCACTGTAGCTTGAAAAAATTCAAAGATCCTGTATTTTAGGGTGAGCTACAGACCAAAACACAAATGCCCCCAAATCAACATTTGGAAATGCTGCCATGGTGCCTCATGGGAGTTGTAGTTCAGTTGCTGTATGTTCCCATTCACTTCTATGGGTTGGGCTCTCCAGCCAGACTACATCTCCCATGATGCACTGCCTCTTCTCTCCAAAAGGGGAGCCTGTGGTGCATCATGGGAGGTGTAATCTGACCAGGGAGCCCCTTTTTTGACCAGCTGTACTACAGTCTCCTATTGGGGATGGCACTCCTGTGCTGAGAGCCAACAGGAGGTCTAGGCACTCCACTGAAGATCTGTTTTGGAGGCTTGAGGGTACGTCTACACTACTAGAAAAAACGACCAGCGGCAGCAAATCTCAGAGCCCGGGTCACCTGACTCAGGCTCCCGGAGCTTGTGCCAGGGGGCTAAAAATAGCAGTGTAGATGACCAGGTTTGGGTTTGAAACCCTCCCACCTCACTGGGTTTCAGAACCTGGAGTCCAGCCTGAGGGAGAAAGGCTACACACAGCTGTTTTTAGCCCTGTAGCGCAAGCTTGAGTCAGTTGACTCAGGCTCTGAGACTTGCTCCCCTGGGTCCCTTTTTTTTTTTTTGGGGAAGCGTAGACATACCCTTAGGGACATTCCTATGGTGCCTGGAACCTGCACAGGGGTTAATTTCAACCAGGAAGTGCCCTTATGACAGCATGGCAGTGGTTGAGCACCACCCACTCCCTTCTCTGAGCTCATCAACAAAGGTACCAAGCAGAGCTGAGCCAAGTTCCGGAATTTCTGTCCCGGGGAAATGCCGAGATGCCAACATTTGCTTGAGTCCCAAATCGCGAGGCCATGTCGAAACCCCGACGCTCTGCTCGGGGTGAAACGTTCTGAAAAATTTCCACTTGACATTGTCAATCGAAATGAAACACTTCAGCCGGCTGAAAGAGAAACGTCTAATTTTGGTTCGTTGAACTAACTCAAAACCCTTTATTTCGAGCCAGTTTGACATTAAACTGCTGTGCCCTATTGTGGCGCATTGCTTCGTGGGATTTATATTTCGGGCGCCTGATACCCCCATTCTTCACTATTGGCCCGATCCCTGGCTGAACTAAATGCCTGACGATGCACCATGTGATTCCTGTGATGCACCACACAGCTGGCTTAGAGGGGAGTCCATCTTATCATCCCTCAAAGAGCCCAGTCCGCTGGAGAGAATACACCACAATAGGGAGGTGCAGTTTAATGTTGCAGCTGGCTTGAAAAGAAAAATTTGGGGTCAGTTCAGTCAAATGAAATACTCTGATTGGGGTTGAACCAACTTGGATTTTTCCTGACAAAATCAAAAAAATTTCAGCAAAATTGACATTTTCCTGTGGAAAATGTTGATGTTTGTGGAAACTGCATTTTCTATTGGAAAATTCCAGGGGCAACAGAGGATGGATCACTTGATGATTCCCTGTTCTGTTCATTCCCTCTGGGGCACCTGGCATTGACCACTGTTGGAAGACCGGATACTGGGCTAGATGGACCTTTGGTCTGACCCAGTCTGGCCGTTCTTATGTTCCTTCAGTTCGATGTTGGGGATGACGACTCATCTCCGGAGCTGAACTTGGTGCATTTGAAAGCAGTGATGCAGGATACTCCCATGACGCATCGCCAGATGCCGCTGATCTCCGGCAACCTGGGCAACCTGACTGAAGCTACCTGTGACGATTTCTGTCTCATCTTGGAAGGGATCCAAGAGAACCTGAAACGATACAAAGAGATCCGGGATGAGCTTAGCACGTAGGTCCTTCCGCGCACGCCCCTCTCCTGTGCTGGGTTTGGGATCTCCCTGGTGGGCAGGGTCAGGGTCAATTTAGTTATATTTCACTTCATCAAAGCAACGCAGGGCAGATGCAGCCACCCAGACTCCAGAGAGGGAGTCCTATGTGCCGTGGTGGGAGAGCTGAGTCCGTGATCCTGTGAGTGGCTGGGTGGGGCTTATGGCTCTTAGTTGACAGATCTTCAGGTATTAACGTTACACCCTTGAAAGTGCCATGTCTTGGGTTCTGTGGCAGGAGAGGACTGGTGGAAGAGCATGACTTTGAAACCCAGGGAAGAGAGTTGGTGGGTAAAGGGCAAAGCTCAGAGCCTTGCCCTAGGACGATTAGAGAATTGGAGAATGACAGCAGCTCGTGGTTTCGCTGTCTGTGTAAGAACGGGCTATCAGCAGTGGGGTATGGGCTATCGTAACCTTGGGGCAAGAATATAGTAACAGAACAGTCACAGCTTCCCCAAGCTGCCTCCTACCATCATGCCTCGGCCTTACCTTGGGGATCACCTCTAGGGCATTCAGCCTCCACGGTCCATCAAGTCCTAGGCTCCTTCACTGAAACTGCCAACAGGGGCCCACAGCATGCTGGTCACTGTTCGTTTTGGACCCTTCTCCACTAAACCTGTGCTGAGACCGCCAAGCTCATGTCCTACAGGCATCCCTGTCACTCCTGACCTAGGACGGATGCAGACCTGCAAGGTAGAGGCGGTGGGCCCCACTGCTATCTCCTAAATTATCTAGCCCCCTGGCTGACTAGGACTTGATGAGGGGAGCTTGTAGGCTTGGGGCCTCTGGAGCAGAACTTCTTGGGTGACAGTTCTTGGTGTTAATAGCATGGAGGGGACAATACGTCAGCGTCTGGCCTGGGAGATGAAGTTTGGAAGGAGATGGCCTGACCCAAAGCCCTGTGGAAAGACGCCCAGCAATTTCAGTGGGCTGTGATTCAGGACCATACTGCTTTAATGGTTGAACCTTACTGTCATGGGGTCCAGGAAAGAGAGCTGGGAGGCATGTGGTGGTGCAGTTTCCTGGGGAAGGAGAATCTGAAGTGGTGGTCTTAAAGCCTCACTCCCTACTGCCTGGAGGACGGGAGAATGGAAGACAAGGCCATTTGGGGGGTGGAAGCCCTACAGTGGAGACTTGGAGATGAGTGTGTTTGGTGGTGGAAGCGGATGTTTCCAGAGCTGCAGGAGAAGCGCTGGGGTGTGGGGGGTGAATGTACTTGCTGGCAGAAGCTCACTGCTTACTTTCCCGGCTTGGTCCCCACAGAATAGTCAAGGAGGTGAGGTCCATCGCGTTCAATAAAGAACAGGAGGAGGAGAGAGTGCTGCGAAACATCCAGAACACCAACATCTCTGACGGCCTGCTTTGCAACGAGGTGGCTGCTGGCAGGTCTGGAGATATCCTGTCCACGCTGATGACTCTGGAGAAGGTACAGTCTAGAGCCCGATCCTCAGCTGGTGTCAGTGGTGCCTACGCCTTGTGCTGTCTCTCTGCCCCGGGGTGAATTTCACTCCCTGTTCAGGGGCTCTGCGCCCCCAGCGCCGACTGATTTCAGCTGCCGTTGAAAGTACCTTGGCCCCTTTGCACTAAATGTGCAGCTAGCATGAGATCCCAAATCTCTTGGAGGAGGGCAAGGGGCTGCAGGTGTAAAGGCTGTTTTCTGCGCCGGGGTAGAACTGGCCCTTGCTCATCAGGCTTGTTCTCTCTCCCTTCGGTAGGCGAACATGATTGACCCACAGGATGTCACGTCATCAGGGTACCACAAGGGGGCAGTGAAGATGGCCTTCTTGAAAGCCCGACGCCAGTCTCTTCCTAACCAGTCAGTCCCTCCTTAGCCGTGCCGGAGCGGGACCATGGAGCTGTGAGTGGGAATCTTCCCCTGGACCGTGCAACCGTGGAGCTGTTAGTGGAGCTGCAGCGTAAATGCTTCCTTTGTAACAAAGGGGGATTTATTTGCTTTGCTGAGGAGACGCTTCTGTCTTTGGGATGCCGAGGAGCGAGTGTGGACAAGGGGTAGGAGCTCCAAGGAGCACGCGCCATGAAATACCAGCTTCTAGACAGACAAAGCAGACCTGGAGGAGTGGCAGGAGACAGGGGTGGCTTGGATTAATGCCAGGTCTGTCATGTTTGCTGTGTGCATTGGGATGACTCTGATATGGCCTGGACTGTCTCTTGGATGGAGACCATGTCAGAGTATTCATGGTTTGGTGCCTCCAAAGCACAAAGCAAAGAACGTCAGGGAAAGAAGAGTTGCTGCACAGCCCGCGCCTGTGGTCAGAGCATCGGCTCCCACCCTCTGTCCCAGAGCCCCTGGGCATGTGTCTGTGTAAGTCTCAGGGGAAATCACCTTTGGGTACCTTTGCACAGGTGAGAACAGAGCTGTCCAGGTGGTAAGAGCAGGATGAAGCACTGGGTGTTCATGCTTGTGCCTGTAAAAGGGGCTTCTCTTGCAGCGTCAGGAGCGGATGCAATGTCCAAATCTGGAAAATGTGTGGTGGAGCAGAAGATGTGTCCATCACGTTGTCCTGGCTGATGCCTCCTTGAGACTCTACCGACAGGCAGCTACCTGGAAGTCCAGGACTAGTTGCACAGGCCCTGCCCTGTGCAGTGAGTGGAAAAGGGCTGATGAAATTATTTCCCACTTTTAATACCCATTATCAAGTTCTGGACCACGTTCCCTACCTTGGCTGCTCATGACGGTGAGTGACACAACCCAGTGAGGTGCTGACGTGTCTCCTGGATGGGATCGGTTGACTTTCCAAAGCCAGGAGGTGCTCCGTCTCACATCTGCGTTTCCCACCCAGCGCTCTCCAGACTCCAGGTGCAGAAGGAGATTGCTCTGCTTCAGCTGTATCTGATCCCCTGTTCGTTGGACTCCAGCACTCCTGTAGCCTTGCATTAAAATGAGCAGTGTCTGGGGAAAGTAGCTGTAGCTGATGCCAGCATATTTGAGACTAATACTAGTCAAGAAATACCTGGCTTGTGTCGATCAGCTGTGATGCTTGTGCGGGTCTCGGATGAATGATCATAATAAAGAGCATTGAGCTGTGTTTCTGAAGCCGTTGTGTTCCCATTTCACCTTGTTCAGTGTCTGAGTCTAAAAGATGTCTACACTGCAGTCACAGGCTATGTGTGACATTCTATATCTTGGGGGAGCGTCCTGTAACCCCCATATTCCTCATTTTTATATCATCGAGATCTTACATATAAAGCAGGCCGTGTGAGGTATCAGGGTAAAGGCTCTGATCTGCTGAAAGTCAGTTCTCTATCCATAGATGTGTATCATTAATGCATATGAAGTTATGAGAATTGTGTTGTATGGTTGTCACTAAAACATGCTGTAAGTTGGGGAAGCAGCCAGATCTTAGCTCCCCAGAGGCAACAGCAAGGAAAGTAACCAACGCCCGGGCAGGGTGATACAACCCATCACCAGCCATTGTCCACCAAAGGAGCTACAATTCAGTGACCCACCTGCATGAGGCCACACCAGGGGAATTGCTCAGCGTTGCCTGGGGACTCAGCAATGCCCCCCAGACATGCCTGGACTTGTGCTCCCCAACTTCATGGGACTGAGGCTATAAAACAGAACATAGTGGCCACATGCTGGGCCTTTCTCCTTCACCCACCTATGCTGCAAGCAACAAGGACACTGAACAAGACTGGAGACTCCAACAGAGGAGACTGGCCCAGATTTAAGGGACAAATCTGTATACTAAGGACTGCAATGTCCAGGGGGTGAGAAAAACGGCTTAATCTACATGTTGCCAAGTCTAATACGGTTGAGAGTTTAGACTGCGTGCTTATATTTTCTTTTCTTTTGGTAACTAACTCTGACTTTCTGTCTCACACTTATAGTCACTTCAAATCTATCTTTTGTAGTCAATACATTTGTTTAACTGTTTATCTTTACCAGTGAGTTTGTATGAAGTGTATAGTAAATCTGTTCAGGTTTTGCAAAGGCTGGTGTATATCCACTTTCCATTGATGAAGTGGTGAATCAATTAATAGATCTGCATTGCTCACCTTGAGTAGTGCAAGATGGTATATTCCTGAGGTACAGTGCTGGGAGCTGGGGGGATTTGGCTCTGGTGCCTTTCTCTGTGTGATTCATGAGTGGCTCTGGGAACATTCATGCAATCCAGCTGGGTGTGGGGCTCCACATGCTGTTGTGCTGAGTGATCACAGCACCTGGAGGGGTTTGCTGCTGGTCACTAGCAAGGCATTGTGAGAGACAGCCCAGGCTGGAGAGAGTTTAGGGGGCACAGCAGTCCCACGGTCCCAGGCTGCACCCCGGGGATCCCGTCACAGTGATGCAGCGAGCAGTGTGAAATACACAGCTTGTTGTACTGAGCAAAATTTGCACTTCATACACCGGTGTAAAGATTTTAAGTAAGGCTTTAAGTGTGGTGGCTAAGGACAGTCAGGAGGAGGCTACCCGTTTATTATTTTCTGTTTGCTTGTTTTGGGAAAGGGAAGTAGGGGCAGAAAAGCAGGAAAATGACTGAAAGCAGTGAGGCGATTACAAAGTTGGAGCTTTTTAGGCTGCAGGTTGCAGAAAAGGAGAGGGAGCACCAGAGAATATTAGAGCTGAAAGGACTGGAGATAAAGGAGAAGTGGGAGGAAAGAGAGTGAAAACACCAACTGGACCTGCTAGAGAAGCAGAACCAGAACCCACCAACCCTAGCGAAATCCAAACATCCACCATTGGGACAATTTATGTCCTGCATACAATGAGGCAGATGATTTTGTTAACTATCTGACCACCTTTGAAAGGCTGTGGGCAGTGCATGAAATCCCTAATGCCAAGATGATTCCTACCCTGATTGCAAAATTAACTGGTAAAGCTCTAAGTGTATTCAATGAAATGCCCATTGAGGATGCTTTAGACGATTGTAAATTTAAAAACACTGTTTTGCAAAGGTTTCAGATTCCCCTTGAAACCTATAGAGTTAAATTTGGGAATCTGAATAGGGATATTGGTCTGAGTAATGGGGAACATGTGAACAAAATGAAAGATTTGATGGGAAAATGGGTGAGTGGCAAAGCTTTGAGGGAATGTTGGATCTTGTTGCTCAAGAGCATTTCCTAAGCATATGTAAAGCCGTGTCTATGGGACAAAATGTGAAGTCTGTGGACGAGATGGCGTCTCTAGCTGATGCTTTTGAACAGACCCAGGCATCTGCTGAAAGCAAACCACTGAAAGAGGTGTTTAAAGCTGGTGGGAAGGGAGGATCCCATTTTATCGCTAGCAAGAAGGAGGGGGGCTGGGAGGCTGGGCACTCACCTCCCCCAAACCATTCCTCTAACCCTCATCCCAAATCTCCTGTAAAAGCAGAAGAGCCCAAAAGGTGCTATCGGTGTAACTGAGGAATAAATGCCCTGTGCTAGGAGGAAGCAGGCAACCAATAGCTCATGTTAGTTCTGCCGTCCTCAACACAGAAACCCCCCAGGCGATTGGAACCTATCATATTGATTCTGTGAGCTTAGCCTTTGCAGAGCCAGATATGGAGCACGTTAAGGTTGTCAAAATTAATGGCAGGGAGTACTTGGGGTAGAAGGATACAGGGGCCCAGATCTCTCTGTGTGGTCCCAAAGGCCAGTATGTTACCTGGCCAAATGGCAGAGATGGTGGGGGTGGGTGAAAGCAGATTCCTTAAACCACTAGATAAAATCCATGTGGTGTGGGAAGGTTTGGAAAGTGTTTTGACCGTGGGGGTAATGGAACACCTCCTAGTTGACCTGCTTCTTGGTAATGATTTTTTCCGTGTAGCTCAGGTTAAAGTATTTACCTGCAGCAGGAGGGAGTTTTATGCTGGGGCCCCCGAGAGAAAGGGTAAGGTCTCAGGACCTGCTGATTTTTCTGCAGCAGGGAGAAGCCACATGCTTCCAGGAGGGAGGTTGACTGAGACCAGCTCCTGCCCTGCAGCTGGAGGCAACACCACCTCAGGAAGGGATGGGGGTGTAATGCCTGCCAGGGAGAGAACTGTCCAGGTTGTTAGCTGCCAGCGAGTTGCAGCTGAACCAGAGCTAGATCCCTCTCTAGGGAGCATAGAGCAATGTGTCCCAGAGGAGAGCCCAGAGAAGGGACAGGGGATCTCAGAAACCACTGAGGTGGGTGAGGATTCCTGTGACTCTGTAACACAGGGAAGCAGGGTGCTCCCAAGTATGGGAGGGGATGAGACTAGCTCCTTTCCAGCAGAAGGCAACATGCCCTCAGGAGCAGGGGCAGGAGAGGTGTTGTCAGGGATTAAGGAAACTGTCCCAGTTGTTAACCTGGCAGGGTTTTGCTGATGAATAAGGGACAGACACCTTCCTAGGGAGCACAGAGAAATGTGTCTTAGAAGGGGGCCCAGAGGAGGAAACTGGGGAAGGAATAGTGGGAGTACAGGAATGTCTCCTCACTGGTCACTTGGGAGAGGATGCTCAGAACCGAATGGGTGAGTCAGCATCTGATCAGTCTGTGGCCCAGGTTTTGAGAAGGAACTGTGTAACTGACCTCCTGGAAGGGAGAAGTCACACAGCTGACTTCTCAGGGACAGCGAAAGGGGGGGTGGAGAGTACCCTAATTCAGGCCCCAGTTTTTCAAGATGCTATTGTGATGTTCCCCTGGTGTTATCTGGACCGGTGATCTTCTAGGCCACACCAGTCCTCGACTCTGGGAGCCAGTCTTACCCTGCTCTGCTGTGAGAACCCCCACTCCCGGGATGCTCACGCACAGCCTCTGGCATGTAAGCTGCTCCCAGCTACGTGAGTGGGCACTTTTGGCCAGCCGCTGCTTGGATTGTGCAACCGAATGACACTAGCCAATATCTCCTGTCCCAGACACAACCCTAGGAACCTCTGTCTTACAGTGTCCAGTTGTGCCTGCTGGATGCTGCAAGCCTATATGAGTTCATCAGTTTAACAAAGAAATTGATATGCACCAGGCTTGTTATCTCAAGGAGAGTCTCTGACACGCTTCAAACCAAACGCACTGCTTCAGGTAGAATAAACAAACAAATTTATTAACTACAAAGACAGATTTTAAGTGATTATAAGTCAAAGCACAACAGGTTGGATTTGGTCAAATTAAATAAAAGCAAAATGCATTCTAAGCTGATCTTAACACTTTTAGTGCCCTTACAAACTTAGATGCTTTTCACCACAAGCTGGCTGGTTGCCCTTCAGCCAGGCTCTCCCCTTTGATCAGCGCTTCAGTCGCTTGGTGGTGGTGTCTGTAGATATAGGTGGAGGAGAGAGTTAAGAGCATGGCAAACATCTCTCCCTTTTATCATGTTCTTTCTTCCCTCTTGGTTTTGCCCCCCCTTCAGAGTCAGGTGAGCATGACCTCATCGCAGTTCCAAACTGATCAAGGAAGGGGGGTGACTCACTCGAGAGTCCAACAGATCCTTTGTTGCTGCCTAGGCCAGTGTCCTTTGTTCCTGTGAGGCTGGGCTGGGTTTGTCCCATACATGCCGTGATGAGGTGTGAACTGCCCCTCTGGTCTTGGAGAGTCTTTGCCTGGGCTTGTTCTAAGCTATGAGGACACATTTTCAGCCTCATAACTATATACATGAAATTACAACTTATAACCTCACTATAACAACACTGCTCAGTGCATCATGAGCCTTCCGAAGACACCCGACATGACAATCTTTGCATTGGATACCACACAATCATTTTATAAGGATGAACATGGGGGCGTAGGGTGTTCCCCTGAGGTACAGAGCGTCACAGCTATTTCTGATAAGTTTTTGGAAAGTAACTATATCTCTTTAAATCAAGATGCAGCTCCAACGCCTGTGATAACAGAGGAGTTGAGACCAGGAAGTTGCCAGGTGATCGTTTGTGAGAATACAAATGACCTGACGGATTAGGAGTGGGGGTGTCTTTCCCCAGGCTGGTGAGACACAGAAAGCAGTTATGGGAAAGCTGCTGGGAAAAGGTGCATCTGATCAAAGGGTAAACACGCCTAGCCCAGAGAGCACAGATCACAGCCCTCTAGGGGGCAGGGAAGGACTCAGTGCTGGGAGGGAGAAACACAGGTAACCCCTAAAAAAGGAGCTGGGTTTTTTGCAT